CTTCGAATTTATGTGCATACTTTTTAAAGAAGAATAGAATGGGAATTACTTAGTACATCTACTTGACATTTGTTGGTGCAGTTATTTTTTCTAGGAAGTGTTATCTGCTCTATAGTAAAATTCCGGCACTTCCGGGCAAGTCTAAATGATTCTGGTTTACAGAAAATAAAAATACCCGAACTTTTCCAAAATTGTCTATCTTATGCTGAAAAATGATACACTCGAATAATGATTGTGCTTGATTTCGAGTTCTGACAATTTACTGGACAATAATCTGCTGACTAATTTGACAGTCATCAAACAGTCAGAAGTTTTTGTACGAACAGCGGATTAATTATCGGTAATCGATCAAAGCTCCCTCAGCCAATTCGTAACGTTCTCATGTACGCAATCTATACAGTCAGTAATGTGTCAGTGACAGCTAACTGAATAAACTAGGTCATGACTTGTCGCCGACTATCAGTTTGCTGATTGTCAGCAAACAGGCTGTACGAAAAAACCATAAATGTCTTGTATCTGCAATGACTACAAAACGAGTGGGATCACAAAGTGGGATCAAGCGACCAAAAACTTTTTCACGGTCTCTTATGGTCAGAATTTTTACTAGAGATGGGGATGAGTATAGATAGGCATAGAGATAGGCGGTATATTTATATTTCATGGACGCTGGAAAGTTACACATAAAGATGTAATAATAAATAATAGTGTTTATTAATTATTTTTAATGACTAGTTAGTCTAATCATATTAGACGAAAATACCCCTGGTTTTACGAATTAATTGTAACGTCTGGTGTTATTGCTGCAAGTTGTTCAAGAGGGTATTCAAAACATGGACGCATAAAATGGGTACACCAATTTTTGTGGGAAAACCTTTTATTCGACAACAAAGAATGACAAAACGTGTTATTTGGGATTCAATCGAAAGTGTTGGCAGAAACGAAAAAACTCTTCATATAAGATTTTTAGGTATTTATGAGACCTACAAAATGAGACCACGCGTAAAAAGATCCGGCTAATAGCAAAAAAGTTATGGTCGAAAACCGAGGCAAACTGCAGGTTTTGTTAGTAATACGACTATGGTTTCTCGCAGAAATTTGAAATTATTCAAATTCGTAGGATTCGTACTTTTAAATAATCACAACAAAATTGGAGTATATTGGTCAATTAATTTTTGAGAATTCTAATTGTTCATCCCGCCATCACTACTAGTTTATTGAGCAATGTACAGGGTTCGCTCAAACAGCATTTAATAGTAAAATACACGTGTTTACCTTGCCGATATGAATCGCAAACCATTCCGGAAGATAAATGTGATTTTTATGCAAAAAAGGATGGGTTACGTTTTTTCTTCTAAACTCACATTTCATATTTGTGAGTAATTCGCAACAAAAGATGACAGACTCATCCGCTTTATTTTAAAATGTGTATAGTAACGTATGTTTTTCGCAGCGCATATGTTCAATTACTCAAAAAAAAACGTACCTAACCCTTGTTTTTCGCATAAACATAACTTTTCTCTTTCGGAATGGTTTGTGATTCATATCGGCAAGGTAAACACGTGTACTTTGCTATTAAATGCTCTTTGTACGAACCCTGTAGGTATATTGCTCAATAAACTAGTAGTGATGGCCTGAAAACAAGTGTTTTTGGATGAACAATTAGAGATTCTCAAAAAAAAACTACTTGTCGAATATAATCCAATTTTGTTGTTATTTAGAAGTATGAGTCCTACGGACTTAAAGAATTCCAAGTAGTTACGTGAAATTATCGTCGCATTACCAACAAGTGCCAAAACCTGCATTTTGCCTCACTTTTCGGTCATAACATTTTTGCTAGTAGTCGGATTTTTTACGTGTGGTCTCATTTTGTAGGTCTCATAAATTCCTAAAAATCTTATTATGACAAGTTTTCACGATCCTGTCAACACGTTTTTTCAAATAAAAAGTTTTCCCACAAAAATTGATGTACTCATTTTATACGTGCATGTTTTAAATACCCCCTTGAACAACTTTCACCAATAAAACCAGACTTTACAATTATTCCGGGGAAATTTGCTAATATGATTAGACTACTATTTAAATTTTCTTTTCCAGTGAAACCCAAGATAACCTCACACCCAAATAGCATAACCGTCGATGAGAACGAAACGGCAGTCTTGAGCTGCGAATATGACTCAGCTGAGTCCCTACCCCACACGGTAGTCAAATGGCGCAAAGACGGTAAATCTTTAAAGCACGACTACGACGAATCCAGCCGTGCCCATCAGAGGATCAAGATCTATAAGCATAATGGTACTTTGGTGATTCACAACGTTCAATCCTCGGATAGGGGAGAGTACGTTTGTGAAGTTATTACGGCAGGGCATAAGCCGGTTCTGTCTAAGCCTGCTACCATATCTGTGATAGGTAGGTATATTTCTGGAAGCAGAGCTAACAAGTTTTTGTCTCTTAGTGTATGACATTTTCTCATGAGAAGCTATAGTGGAAAGAGTTGACAATGACCATAGTCAAAGGATTGAAGATAGATCTGGGTTACCTTCCACCTTTTTAACTAAATCATATTTTTAAATTAGCGCTCTGAATAAAGATAAATGTGCATTTTCAATGTTCAATTTTTTGCTTTTGACTTTTGGATTTCTCGACTTTCACGACTTTTACGTTTTTCTCGACTATCGCAACTTTCCCGACACTCTCAACTTGATCGACTCTCGAACTTCTCACTTAATCAACTTCCCCGACACTCACAGTTCTTCACTTCAATTCTTGACTTACTCGGCTCTCTCGACTTGCTCGACTGTCTCACTTCTTTGACTTTCTTGACCTAGACTTTCATACTTCCTCGACCTCCTCGATTTTATCGACATTCGTCATTTTTTAGATTTTCTCGACTCTCAACCAGCTGCTCGACTTTCTGTAATTTCTCGAAATTTCGATTTCTCTATACTCGATTTATTATGAGCAAAAACCTAAACCGGTTTGCGTTTTCTTTTCAGAACAACTGAAGTTTTCTCCAGCACCAGTGAACAAAATGATGGAACTAGGCGGTATGTCGAAGATTCACTGCAAAGCTCAAGGTACTCCTCCTCCAATAATTCGGTGGGAGAAGGAAGGAATTGAGACTTTGCCAACACACGTGACTGATATGAATGGTACACTCCACTTTAATGGGGTCCTTGCAAGTGATAAGGGACGCTATAACTGTATTGCCAGCAACAGTCAAGGAGTGATCAATGCTACTATAAATATTGATGTCGTAGGTATGTGACATTCATTCCGTTCTCACCAAGTCAACTGGCAACGGCCAGTGTAAAATTCTACGTTGAATGATACCGCTACTTTTGATTCCGCAAAAGCGCGAAGAATGTCCTTATGGCCGTGGCTCCGAAAGTCATTAGGAGGTCAAATGTTTTTTTTTTTACCGACAAACATCTATTTTTGATCCCGAAAATGTATATGGGGAAAACTTGCATTCAAGTTTTTTAATTGTAAATGGCCTTAATCATGACCTTCAAGCACAAATCAATTTTTTGATGGGACACCGCTACTTTTGATTTCGGGAGGGTGGAGAATTTTGCGTTGCAGCTTGCAGGTGTCCATGGCCTCGAAGGTCATTTGAAGGCCAAACAGATTTTTTAACAGGAAACATCTGTTTTTGATTCCGAGAATGCAGAGAGCAAGGAACTTATCGTTCAAGTATGTCCTTTTAAACTTCTAAACCATCACCTACAAAGTCGTTTGAGGGTCAAATTAATTTTTTGACAGCATATCGCTACTTTTTATTCCGGGAAAAGGGCGAATAATTTTGCGTTCAAGCTTGTCTATGTCTATGACCTTGGCTATGACCCCGAAGGTCCTTTGAAGGACGAAGTTTTTCATGTATTTTATTATTAATTTTTGAACGGGAAAAATATCTGTTATTGATTCCGGAAATACAAATGGCGGATAACTTTACGTTCAAGTATGTCCTTGTAAGTGATCACAATCATGACCTTCAGGGTTATTTTGAGGTCAAATTAATTCCCTGACTAGATTTCGCTACTGTTGATTCCGAGAAAGAGCAAAAAATTTTGCGTTCAACCTTCTCTATTCAGGATGTTAGGGAAATAATAATCGTAACTTTAGGAGGTGATTCCTAACATTATTCTAAGCAAAAAAGTTCATTATAACCTATGTCCGAAAATCAACCGTTTCGGAGCAAAAAAATGAAGAACGTATTTGTTTTTAGTCATGAAATAAATTAAATTTGCACCTTAATAATTTAAATTCATATGCCTAATAGCGTAAAATGTATCAATACATCTATTTATTAATTAACTGTCTCTAACAAAATAATTTTCTTGTTTATTAAATACAATTTTCGGAAGAAAAACAAACAAACAAAATCCCTCACACAACTGGCAACGTGGTACGCCTGCACTGAATGTATCATCGCGTGTTGTCGTGATTACTAATACATTCAACTGTAACTTTTTGTGATTTACGGATGTTGTTTTTTTTCCTTTTTTTGTGTATCGCATCATTTCAAATAAGTGACTAATAATCGTAGGAATTGGTGGTGTGTATCGCCACGTACCGGTAAGTTCTGTCATTTTTTTTCAAGTAAATGTACTGTACTGAAAGCGCTATTAAATAAAAAATATTGGCCACAAAAAATTGCGTGAAAGTATTCAATAATTCAATGCATATTTTCAACAAAAATTTCATACAAACGTACACAAGTCGATGAATCAGTTGCTCTCGTCGTGTGCTCGTAATTATTTACGACTCACTTTCCTCGAAAACGATTGATTTTCGGACATAAGTTATAATGAACTTTTTTTACTTAGAATAATGCAAGGAATCACCTGTTAAAGTTACGAATATTATTTCCCTAACACCGTGTATTTGTTCTATGGCTTTGCTCTCGAAGGTCAATTGAAGGTCAAATAAATATTTTAACGAGAAACTTCTATTTTTCTTCTGTAAATGCAGAGGGCGTAGATCTTCACGTCAACAATGTCCTTGTAAATGACCCTAACCATGACGTCCAAAGTCATTTAGTGGGCAAAAACTGCTACTTTTGATTGATTGAAAGGGCAAAGAATTTTTCAAATAAATCCTCTACATTGTCTCTGAAATAGAAAGAGCGAAACATTTCACAGCCATGGTCACGTTCATGTACATGTATTTATAGTATTTTGTTTTCAAGTGGCACCTAAAATTACCGTGGCCCCGAAAAACCCAACAGAAGCAACAGTTGGTCAACCTGTCTCCATAGACTGTGTCGCTGAAGGAGACCCAAAACCTACCATCCAATGGGACAAAAATTTGAAAATGAATGCTTTGGACCCGGCGAGGTTCCAAGTTCTGCCGAATGGAACCCTTTACATTCAGGAGGTTAGAAAGGAAGATGAGAATAAGTATGGATGCATTGCTGGAAGCAGTGCTGGTTTGAATAGAAAGGAGGTCCAGCTTCTTGTTCATTGTAAGTGATTTTACCGTACTCCGAATGTGTATTTATTCCAAAATTGTATGACGACGTAATATCACTATTTTGGACAAAAAAATAATTTGAATGTTTTCAGTTCTTCTATGAACGAAAAGTAGCGAAGCTTACCCGCCGAAGTAAAATTTCCCGCCAAAGTTGTGGCGTAGGTTCTAGCAGACGTAATTTGTTCCCTAACATTGACATTTTGATATAAAAAGCAAAGTCATATTGAGTAATTTTAAGCAATCTAGCATTCATAACGGGTCGTGTTAGGTTTTGACTTATTCATTGTACGTCAATTACAGCTGGCCTTTCGTGACGTCATTAGTTTTGACAGTTAAAACTAGTAACAACCTTGCTCAGGTGGTGGAGTTTCTATCCGGTTCTCGTATATCAAACGTCATTCTTTTGTACCTTTTGTGTTTGTTTTATGATTTAAAATTTTCCATAAAACATGATCAGCGAATATGAAAAAAAAAGATGTCAGATGCCACGGACCGAGTTCTTATGTAACCATCCATTGTAAAAAGTAATAATTAATATGATTAATAAAGTATTCACTTATATTTGAATCACATTTATAATCGTTGACGTTGAACCAAAAATAGTTGCATGTAGCAACGCTGCTCTCAGATATCTGTTATAAGTAAGAAAGACAAATGACTGAATAATCAAGCGCATAACCAAGGCATATCCTCGCTTAAAATTGCTTATTATATCGGTATTTGAAATAAAAAACAAACACTATAGGTTGATTTCGTTGATATTACTTACAGAGTATATTTCTTTCAATGTACGAATTTCAATTTTTTTTTCATTTACGAGCGAGATAAATTGCATCATCTTGGATGTAAATCATTATATCTACTATATATGAGATAGGAACCTGGTAACAGGAGATGTCAAGCGAAAAATATACCAAATCTATTTCAGATATTCAAAATGAAACTTTTGGTAGATAATAATACCTTCGAGCATCATAAGAAGTATAAATTGCTGTGGCAATAGCGTTGCTATTTAAGCTTTCTATGCTGCTTGGGCTGTGTGATATAAGTGAAAACATACTGTATAGCTTATGTATTTTTTAGCACCCGAAGGTCTTCATCCAGATGCGGATGGTGATTCCACAGTAACTAAAGCTGTATTGATAACGATGTCAGTCGCTGGGGCATATATTGTTCTTGTTATTGGTCTAATGGTGTGGTGTCGCTATAGAAGACGGTCCAGGAAGTTGCCTATTGGTGATGGTGAGTATTTTTTCACCAGAAAATTGATTAATCGTAAGAAACCCGAAAAATTATACTAATGTATGCGAAAGAGCTCAGCAGACTGTGGCAATGAGGTTGAGGTATTGTAGGAGATACCTAGTTATGTTGAATGTTTCTTGTAAATTATGAATCTTCGCATGCAGATAATTAAAGGTTAAACTTTTGCATAATTCATTATTGTTTTCAGCTTCTAAAACCGAAAATGGTGATATCGAACACACAGAACTGAAGGACACGGTTAACGGCAGTGGTGGTGCTGTACCAAAACCCAAGGCAAATGGTGTTGAAAACCATAAGGAAGGACAAAAAAGTGACGGTGGTGACACGGCAAACTCGCAGTCTTCGAAGGAGTCGAAAAAATCTACGAAATCGAATAGTTATGATAAGCTGGCTTTATCTAGAACGCATTTGAGAGAAACCAAACTAATCGGTAGGACCATTCGTAGATTCTTCATTAAACAAATAAGAAATTTGGCAGAGCTTGATGGAAAAAAACGTGTTTCTATATTTCAAAATTTGAAATACATTTTGATAATATCTCTAGAAGTGTCTCGGAAAGATAAGTCGAATGTTCGAAAATACGATCTGCTCTTCATGCTTCTGTAGCTTTTTAGACCAATCGAGGGAGTGTTTGAAGTAATGGATCTAATGAATACGGTCCGTTTCCTGTGATATGTTTCTGAAACTAGAGAAAAATAATCCAATTTGTGTAAGAGGGGCCCCTAATTCCCATTTAAATAGATAGATAATTTATTTGCTAAAATATACGCATGCGAAAAATTACATTTCAAGATGGGCTAAAACATGTGCGAAACAATTAAAGAAATTCTTCATAAATCTCATGGTTTACCTAAAAAAAACTATTTCTTATTTGACCGCGGGCACAAAGTCCCTAGTCGCAGGGCACAAATTCGAGTCAGGAGGTGCTTTTGAAGTAATGGATCATGGATATGGTCGATTTCTTGTAAAGTGTCTCTCAAACTAGAGAAAAACTATTTTATTTGAGTAAGACCTGATTCCCATAGTGAATCAAAATGTTTTTCGTAAGTCACCAGGATTAGGACAGAAACCTACATTTCCATTTCATCCCGGAGACAAAATTTATGACTAGGGCACAACCAGGAGGCATTTTTGAAGTAATGGATCTAATGACTCTGGTCCATTCCTTGTGAAATATCTCTCAAACTACAGAAAAATTATACGATTTGATTAAGATGGGCTCTAAATTTCTATATTAAATCAACTCAGCATTAAAATATTGGCTTGTAAGACTCTCGTAACGTTTCAAAGTCAATAATTGTGATTTCTCTTGATTCTCTGTCATTAAACATATTTTCCACCTCGAAACATATCCACGAATGGTTGCTTATTTTTGGAGTATGTAAAACCTTATTACCCAAATTCTGTCTGGTTATTTTGGTTATTATTAAATCGATCTTAGTTCATGAAAAGTTTGTAATCCATGTGAAGTCATTAACTTTTTGCCATAGACCATGAAAGTTCAGTAATTGTTTAAACTTTTTTACATAAAAATCTTGATTATCAAAATTTATATTGAAGTCTTCCAAGTGCACAGTGGAGCAATTTCGACAATACTGTTTTTCACAAACACTCTCAAAAAAGTCAAAAAATCTGCTAATATTACAGCTTGGAGATCTGTAGTAAACGTGTACATTGTAATTTTGTTTCATCTTCATTTCCAAAATGAATATACCACCATTGATAATCAGTATTATGTGTTTTTACTTCAATCATACTCAGTTTGTATATTAGTATGCCACCTGTATGTATCGAAACTGTGTTTACTCTTATAACATCATAATCATGAATATCAATCTCCATATCTTCAATATCTATGTGTTTCAGTCAAGCAAATGGTTTCACTAATATTAAAAAATTTATAACTTCATCCTTGTGCGATAAAAATCCTTGAATATTTATATGGTAGACATTGTTAGAATATTTTTTGGCCTGTAATTGCTATTTGTCACCATAAGAAACTTTATTTTTTGATTTTTCATATTCGATTTGGACCATGTTGCAGGTATAGTGGAAGGATGAGTGAATATATATCGAAATTTGTGTTGTACTTCAAATTTGATTCCCTGCATCTTTTGATATCGTACAGTTCTGGACCTGATGATCACTATTACCACATTTTAAACAAATACTGGTCTTGGTACAATTCTTCGCTGTGTGGTGAAATCCGCCACAGTTAAAAAAACACCTCAGAAGATCGTAATGCTCAAAAATTGTACAAACATCTATGGATACAAACAAAACTCCTGCTTTCATTACTGCTTCAGATGTCGATCTATCCAATTCCAAAATTGCCATATACCGAAATTTCATTTTTTTGATTGCCACTACTTTAATCGGAGCATCAGCATTTATAACGTTGTTTCTCATGTTTAAGTCTCTAACCAATTTTTCATTGTTTAAGTCTTCACTGAAACCCACGACTTTAATCATTGGTAATTTTTTGTGGCCTACATTTACTTTATAATTCTGTCCAACACTTTTTTTTATTTCCAATTTTAACTTATTGATATCATAGATATTCTTGCATTCAATTTTCAGTGCTCCATCTTTCAGATCAATTACTTTTTTAATAGACAAATTCATTTTTGCTGGATTTTTATACTTGCTCAATTCCTTCTTTGTTTGTGTACAACTTTGATTTGTATTATTAGGTTTAATAACAATTGTATTTTCCGGTTGTGTTGTTGTGTTTATATTTTTAGTATATTTTACCGTTTTTTTTGGAGATGGCGAAGTAATGTTGGTGTTCAATTTGTTTATTTAGTTTATCTATTTTTTCATATAGTTGTTTTATCAGTTTTTCTTGTATCGAAATAGTATAGTCTTTTATCTTTAAAATGTCTGTTACACAAAATCCTTTTTCTTCATGTGATACATTTACCTCATTTGCTTTTCCACCAGCTTCAGTCCCATCTTCATCAGTCTCCATATGGTTCAACTCGATATTTTTTCAGAAAGAACTTGACCCAGAAAACCTGACAATTTTTGTCACTAATATGTGACTAAAATTAAATATCCGTAAAACTTCCAAAAGGTGTCTTCGATCACTAAGGTGCTGTTAGTAGACGTAGGGCAAAAAAAACTTCGCCAATCGGAAACAAGCTTAATATATCTTGTAAATAATATAACCAAACTAAAAACAAACATAGATACTTTAGAAAATTGTAAAGAAAGGATATATCGCAATTTCCCACGTATTGCCTTCTAGAAAATAAGTAATGAGAACCTTTGGGGTTTAGTTTACTCTATTGATTTAGTACGTAAACAATGATTCAAAAGATTGCAAATGCTTCCTTAGGCACAGCAGTTTTTACTCTCATTTTCGATAAAAAGGCACGTATATTTTGTTTTTAGGAAGGGGTGAATTCGGAGACGTTATGGTCGCCAAAGTATCTCGAAGCATCCTACTATCAGAAAAGAGGAATTCCAAAAACGGTCAAGCATCAGGGATGGCTACAACACCCACAGAAAATCCTCCTGATGAAAAAGAAATCACTGTTCTGGTTAAGGCCTTGACTCAAACTAAAGACGAACATTGTCTGGCAGAATTTAAGAGGGAACTGGATCTATTCACAAAGTTATCGCATGAAAATGTCACAAAACTACATGGGCTGTGCAGGGAAGCTGAACCACACTATATGATTTTGGAGTATACTGATTGGGTAAGTTATCAACGAGGTCTGCTCAAAAATAAATTGAGGAATTCACATTTTAATAATAAAAATTTTTTATAACAATAATAACCGTATTTGTAAGGTATCTCCAATCGCTTTCTAGTTCCACCAAGCTGCCTCGTGGGCTCACACCACGGTACCACCGTGCGAGATCAGTAACCTACGATACTTCGTCGCCACGCAATTTAAATTGTGGCAATTTTTGATCAGACCAGCTACAATTCAATGGTTCTATGTTCTCTAGAAGCATCTTTTTATATGGGGTTTCTCATTCTCTTAATACCTCCTTTTTTTCTTTTTCAATTAGTATTACAAGAAACATCTTGGAAAGAAACTATAATATGCTTTTAGGGAGATTTGAAGAAATTTCTGCTCGCTACACAATCAGGGAACACACCGGCTTTGACGCCTGTCCAAAGTGTTGGAATTCTACATCAAATCAGTCGAGGAATCGAACATATTTCCAACAATCGATTGGTCCATAAAGATCTAGCGGCCAGGAATTGTCTCGTCACGTCGAAACTTGTCGCTAAAGTTAGTCTTCCAAAACTGACTAGAGATCCGTATAGTCAGGAGTATTGCAAGCATGTTAATCAGGTAAATTGGTGCCTCAATTAAAAAAATGCACAAATAATGAATTGATTCCAAACGACAACACAAAGTTTATGTTTGCCAAAGACCTATTGAATATAACAGAGTTTTTCAAAAATGGCTTTTCCCATAGATAAGAGTACGTCTTTTCAGGATCTCCATAAAGGACCTCCGTAGGTCATTTTTTTAAAAGAACTTTGAACTATATTTTTGGATTTCTATAAGGTGTTAAATTATGAAAGTCGTTCTAAAATGTTTTCCTGATTATTCCAATACCCAAGAAGAGCTACGGCGATTCATACCTAATATTAGCTATTATAGTTTTGTGTTATTTTTGGGAGATGTATAATGGACTGTCATCAAAGACAGAGAAGTTTGACAATCTCGTATTATAGACAAGGATCGTGTTTATACAACGTGTCCCATTTTTAAAAGTGGCCAGCACCTTTTAACATTTCGAAAACTCATCCTAGGTTTTTCTAGAGGTCAAAATGGTGGTGACGTTCAAGGTCAAGTGGACTTTTTAAAATGGAACCTCTTTTTTACTTCTGAATTGAAAAGAAGACGTAATTTTAAGGTCAAAGCAATACATCTAAAACAACTTGCTTTTTGAAAAATTGCTCCACAGCAAAGTTGTGAGGTTTGTGCTTGTCACCCAAAAGGGACTTTGATGATGACCGTGGTCCAGCCATAATTTTGAAACAAATCCTTATTTTTATACTTCCAAATGTGAGCGTGAACTCAAATTCAAGGTTATGGCAAGCTCAATAGAGTAAGTTACCTATTAAATAACTTTTAAGCCTAGAGGATCATCATTTGAAGGTCATCATCAAGTTCACCTTTTGGTGACTTCTAACAAACTTCTAAAGCAAATTGTTTCCAATGTCTTGATCTAACCTTGAAACGGTCTTGATCTTGACCTAGAAGATAACGGTCAAGGTCTCATTCGAACATACAATTTAACGGTCACCATAATATTGTCCCCCATAACTTTTGATTTGAACGTTTCTTCTAGGATTCGTAGATTTCGAATGAAAATAACAATAAAATTTCTATCTTAGATCATACCACTGAGGTGGCTTCCATATGAAGCGGTATACGAAGACGAGTACTCCACAAAAAGTGACATGTATTCATTCGGCGTACTGATGTGGGAAGTTTTTGCAAAAGGAGAGTTGCCGCACTCGAAAGTGAACGATAACACTTTCCTCAATAAGCTCAAAGAGAAAAAGTTGGAGTGGAAACCGCATTCTGACACCCCAGAACCATTGATAAGAATACAGGTAAAGGTTTTGTATTTGATTCACTATTTTGTTTATTTTTTTAAGAGACTAACAAAGGCTTTAAATAATGTTGGGTACTCGATAAAAATGTAATGAGGGATTTCGTGAAAGAGTATTTTTAAGTAGCTGAAAACGTAATTATTTTATGAGTTTTGGTAAAAAAAATCGAATTTAAAGCCAATCAAACTATGTGAATTTGTTGCTATGCCCATAGCAAAACAATGCTATTTAGTCAACGCAATTATATGGAACTATTAGAGAAAGTATCTCGCTTTTTCTCAATTTTTATTTTTTAAATTCCTCAATACTTATACTACTCCTATGTTTCTACTTAAAACGAATAAGACCGTATCGCATTATGATGGTTTTTCTCCTACATTTAGCGAAGAATGATGTACAACACTCTTTTTTTTAGTTTAAAAGTTTTTTATTATCATATTAGCATACTTTTTGCAGTTGTTTATCTCTACATTTAAGCGAAAAATAAAGTACAACACCCCTATTTTTGAAATATTTTTTCAAAGCTTTGTGTCGCCTCATTTTATTAATAACATATTTTTTGTAATGATTTTTCCCGTACATTCAAGCGAAAAATAGACTACGACATCCCATTTTCATAACCTTCTCACAAAGTCTTTTTATCGCCTTATTTTATTAATAACATTTTTTAGAATGTTTTTTCTCGCACACATAAGCGAAAAAAGAATTACGACACTCCTATTCTTAAAATATTTTCTCAATGGTTTTTTTATTATCTTATTATATTATTAATGTATTTCTTCCAGGAAACATGCTGGGACCTAGACCCACAAAAGAGACTCTCCTTCGCAGAGCTCTCCAAAGAGATCGAGGATGTTCTAAAATCTTTGTAAATATTCAAGGCCAAAAATGGAAAATTTTATGAAATAATCGAATTGTTGGATTGTATAGGCTTCCATACAATGAAAAATGAGTCTTCTTAAGCATAGTGATTATGACATAATGTCAGTCTTCTTAAGTATAGTGATGTGTGTAGTTGTATTTGTTAATTTATTTTTTGACATTGAGTGCGAATGGTTTTAACTTATTTTTCGATCTCAAAATCGTATTGACCCCCTTTAAGAAAGTAAATAGAGTGTATGATCAGATAAAGTTGGTTTGACCGATCTTGAAAGTTATGCTTGAAAAACACGTTTTTATACCATATTTCACGAGTATCCATCACGCTTTGACGTCTACAGCAGAGCAGCAAATCGGGTGTAAATCTAGTAAAACAGGTTGGTTTTTGTGTACGCAAATGAACTTTTCTAAGTAAAAGAGCATTTGGCAAGTACAAAATAAATCTGTAGCTTACAAAAAACCATTGACGGATCCTTAGAATTACACGATGTGTCCTTTGCCTAGATGGGGAATTTTGAAATACATATTACCATATAATCAGCTGTCATTCTACCGTGATGAATACTCATGAAACAGGGTATATCGATCTGTAAATTTGGTTAAGGTGATTTGACCCTATATACCTTAATTTGGATTGATCCAAATTTGGATACCTTTGGAGGCAATTTTCAGATATAGTTTCGCATGTAGTCTTTCCTTACTGGTAGATCCGTCATTTTCGCTTTTGCTGAAACTTTTGTACATAGTAATTTAGTTCCTTAATCTTTAAGCTTTAATTTACAAATAGACATTCAGTACTAGGCAGTTAATAGATAAAAAAGCCTATATTCAAGCCTAGCTTCAATTTAGAAAACAATACAAATGAATTTAAAAAATATTTTTTTTGGCTCGGTAAAGTATCATCGAATAGTTATTTCAAGTTGTTGAAAACCCATTCTATACTGAATTTAAAAGCTAACGATACAAGCATTTCTCAAAAAATTGTACAAGATAATCCATGAAAAATTTTCTGGTAATATTTTATCAGTTTATATGATAGAATGTTTTTCAATGCAACTTTTATCTCTATTAACTGGAAACATCACAAATACAATTTTGTTGCCGAAGGCTTTCTCAAATATGTGTACATATCAGTTTTAAGTTACTGTCAAGGCTATGGAGCATATCACATATTCTTAAGTGAAACATGTACATTGAAAATCTCAGAGCCAATGAACACTGCCAAAATATTCTGAAATTTATTGCGATGTTGATTGAATTCGACAAAATGTACAGAAGAGTCTGATTTTCTACTTTTGTACTAATACGTTATATTGTTATTTATATAAATGAAAACTGATACACAAGTCTTCACAGCCGAGTGATTATGAAATTTGTGTATCTTTGTGGCCGGCGAGAAAAGGTGGAGTCTCCATTAAGCTGGAGTCTGACTGTTAGGCCAAGGAATGAGATTTTATATCGGGAAATTCTACTTTAAATGTGACACTATATTTTTTTAGTGCTACCGCTAGATTTTTGCTTCCTAATGAAGTAATAAGTCTGTTGTAATAATTATATGGTCGGTATGGTTGGAAATTAAACACATCGTTTAAGCTGATTTGTCGCCAGGATAAACAACCTAAGCGTATACAAACTTCTATTCTTTTTAGTAGAGAAGAAAATATGCTACAAATATTTATTCTACATCGACAACTTGGTGGTTCTTGGAGTATAAGGAGGGAGCTTAAAATTCGTATCAAAACTGTCGCGCGATATACTCTACACGCTAGATACGCTGTCCACTTATCCAGATACAGCATTATTTCACTTGGAGATAACTTCATAATCATTAGTTATTATAAGTATAATCATATTAGACGAAAATACCACTGGTCTGTGAAATAATTGTAAAGTCTGGTTTTATTGCTGCAAGCTCTTCAAAGGGGTCAAAACATGGACACATAAAATGGGTATACCAATTTTTGTGGGAAAACTTTTTATTCGACAACAAAGAATGAGAAAACGTATTTTTTGGGATTCAATTGAAAGTGTTGGCGGAACGAAAAAACTCTTTGTATAAGATTTTTAGGTATTTATGAGACCTACAAAATGAGACCACACGCTGTTGGTAATGCGACGATGGTATCTCGCAGATATTTGAAATTCGTATTATTCGTACTTCTAAATAACCACAACAAAATTGGGGTAGATTGGTCAAGTAGTTTTTGAGAATTTCTAATTGTTTATCCCAAAACACCTATTTTCCGGCCATCCCTGCTAGTTTATTGAGCAATATACAGGGTTCGTTCAAAGGGCATTCTATAGCAAAATACACTAGTTTACCTTACCGATATGAATCGCAAACAATTCCGAAAGATAAATGTTATTTTTATGCGTGGCTGTAAAAAATGGATTCACTTGTAAATGGTATTCCTGGTCATAGGTAATGATTTATGCAGGTATCACCACGTGAAATAATGTTATATGCTGTTAATTACCTTTTCTGTAGAAAATTTTATTCTCTAAAAAAATAATATTGGTCTTTACACGTTTAGGTTGTTTTTTAAGCGAAAATATCATTACATGTAGCTTTACCATCGAATTTCTCATAACATGTTGACTATACAACAAATTTTCATAGAAGCAAAATGAGAAAGAATTCAATTCCCTACAAAATTGTGTCAATTTGGTCTTTACATAGGATCGATGGTTTCAAAGATTTCGATAAAACAGCGACAGATGCTCCATATCATGGCACCAGTATGAACATTTTAGGAAGCAATATTGTAACGATACCACCACACCATCGCAAACATTTTAGAAAAAATACCTCTTCCATGGCCTACGAGTATGTCAGATAGATCGACTCACGCGAAGTCTTACAGCTATGCTAATCCAACCGAACGCAAATATCATGATTTTCTAAGATTTTGAAGGCATCCAAAAATAAAGTTTCTTCAATTATATGGTTGCAATAATTCTGGTGTAGTCTCAGATGCTCAAATAAAAGACTTGTACCAGTCTCCAAAAGTACGACTTTTTAATTTCTTAGCTTAAATAAGAGAGACACTAGGTACTCAACATCATGATACAAACAGGGTGATCAAGAAACAATGACAATATTCATAAAGCTGAAAATACATCCAGAAGTAACACAAAAGCCCCTACAAACGTATGCCCTAATCTCATTACCGACCTATAGGGAGTTGTACATTTTTACGAATAACTGAAAGACTGAATAAGGCCGAAACATGGTATTGCTCGAATTATGATTTGATGAGATATGATTACTCTCATAATATATTACATACAATATCAGCGTATTTTCACAGAATAACAGCAGAGTTCTTACGTAAAAGAAAAAACCTAAAAAATGTCACTATGCAAATATTTCATTGCGCGCTTGCTACAAGTGAGCATGAAGTGAACGAGAGCTAGTTACAAATTAACGTCTTGTTGGAAAACCTACACAATGTAATAAAAAACCTACATAATGTCAAAAAAGCGATAATGTCACTTTTTAAGTTACGTAATACCCCTGCTGGTTGAAGCTTTTTATACGCATTCTACGTCAAATATTCAAAATGTTTCTCCAAAATCGGATAAAAATTTCGCAAGATTGGCGATTCATATAAAATTGATTACCCTATTGAAAAATGCAACAGATGTTTTAAAAAAGACAGTAGCATATAAAATAGTTTTCTTTTTTCTTTTGTGGGACTCAACATTTACAAATCTCTACGCCCTTGGTGGAGTGTCAGTGACGAATATTTTTGTACGAATTGCCTATGCTGTTAGTTGTGCATGAATAAAATTTCATATCAGTATCTTAAGAACAAATTTTTTGATTTCGTTACTAAAACTTTAACACTCTGTATGTTGGTAAGGCGGCATTTTAGGGCCCTTCTTTATACGAATTTTTCATGTTATTTTTGTACCTACTTTCTTCGTAAAAAATATTGCCTCAATTTTCTTAATCACCCTGTATATTTGTATAGAGCCTAAAAGTAAGCTTTATTTAAAAGTTAGAGTGCATAATATGTTGAGCTTCGCTGATTTGGACTTATGTGTGCATATAGCAAGTCTATTTGTAACAATGTATTGAGAAAGATAGGTGTTATGCTTTCAGAGGTTTGAGACAGAATATTTATATGAGAGATCATTTCCGTATAGCTTCATATATGCATATAATATTTATATGTATTGTTTATAATGGTTGTTCTAGAGGTATAGAACTTTGAAATATGGTATACACATTTTAATACATAAGATTATGCCGCTAATGATTTCTGGCATACCAACTTCATGTGTTTCTATAATTTTGTGATTTTTTTTAGTTCTACACCTCTAAAAAACAGCACATGTTTAACTTCGCACATCCCCTTCTTCAACAGCTTGCTTGGAGGGGAGGGGTATTCTCAATACTTAATACATTCTTATGTACGTTGGCTTTAATCGTAACTTGTTAACAAATAATAGTACAGCTCTGAAATAAATGTGAATATTCCACTTTTACAGTAGAATCCTTTTCCTCCAAAAATCTTTACTTTTCTTGAAAACCCATTTTTCAGCAAATATTTTTGATATGCACACCATGAAATAATCACATAAAGAGTATTAAGAATATGTACTCCTTGAAACAATCAGTTGAAAAAGAGGGTTGTACAAGCTTAAGGGCATATTATAATCTACATCGATACGATGGCTCTGTGTGAATACAAGCTTTATCATTAATTGCTTAACCACTAGATATGAATTTCAATTTTAAATCACGTTTAAACTTGTTGTCCACATAAAAATGAATATCATATTTTAAACGTTTTCTTTATAACGTCCGCTGCTGCCCAATTCGAGAACCTTCATGTCAAACATTGTTGAGTGACATTGACACACGGTACATGTTGCTGGTAGTAAGGGTTAAAGCTTGAAAGTAACGTTGAATATTTTTGCTTGAGACATCGTTATATGGAGCTAGAAGAGAGTAGAAGCAAATTTATATATTTACTAGACTAATCCGTCAATCTCGTTTGCGTGAAAGTACTGGAAAGTATAGGTCATTCTTTTTGCACTAGTGTAAAGGAGATTGATTTCGGAGAAAGAAATGCAATATTCAAATAGATACTTTAGCAATGAACATTTGAGGACACAAGTGTATAAAGGTGTCATGTAACAAAATCATTGTAATGGGAAAATTGACTTCAAACATTTTTAGTGGGACCTTTTACGTCATTGAAATTTTAAATATTTAGTTTAATTAGTTTATTATCTTGTTTTTACAACAAAGTAATCACAGAATGAAAGAATCACTCCTTAAGTTTAGTTTAATACAAAAAAGCAATTTTGTGTCTTTGTTTATTATCAAACATTTTGATGCTACAATAAATTAATTTCAATATTTTGCTTTTTCATACCTTCGACATCCAGTAAGGAGCTTACCTGAAAAATCATCTTACCTTAAAATAACCTTGAAGGTCATGGGCAGGTTCATTGACAAAGTCTGCAATTTGCATTTCACGAATAAAATAAATTTGATCTTCAAATGACCTTGATAGTCATAGACAAGGTCACGAACGTAATGGGACAAGTTTCTTGCTTTTTTCGTCTCCGGCGTCAAAAATAGGGGTTTCCATTCAAGAAAACTGTCTTGACCTTGGATACCCTGAAGTACTCATAAGGATCGTGGTCAAGGTCATGGACAAAGACAGTTTACCGTAAAATTTTCCTCTCTTTACATTTCCGGTGTCAGAAATAGGGGTTTGATTTAAGAAAACTGTCTCGATCTTCAAATGACCTTAAGGGTCATTGTAAATTCGACGTTCAAGATCACCAATGGATAAGGCTTTTCAAACCTTGCAACTTTACTGTAGAACATTTCATGGAAAACGTATTTTATGAAGTAACTTTTTCTATTCATACTTTTTGAACACCCTGTATATTTTCGCGGGTAAAACTATGCCTATAACTTTCTTCGGGGTTCAATTAGTCAATGTACTGATTTTTACGTGTCTTAGTAGTGAGGCTCAGACATTCATATTTATATAGATTTTATATTGAAAAGCGTTCCAAAAGTGATAATTATTTTTTGTGTGGACTCTGTGCACTGTAGGAATTAGATGATGTAATCATTTATTGGTATTAGCTTGTACATATATTTTAAATACCTATGTATACATATTTTCTTGTATAATACTACGATCTGTCCATATTAGCATCAGTGTAGCTTTTTATAATGATTTTTATATTATATTGTCCATTTTTATATTATAATATTATGCGTAATCTTTTTTGTGATATATATTCTAAAATTTTTAAATATAATGAATGTGTAATAATAGAGTCCTTGGACATCAACGATACTTGTCCGTTATTCTATCATGAAAATTGATGAACGTACGACGCGTACAAATAAAATCTTGGTCGTTTTGCAAAATTTTCAGACATTGTGATAGAATGAAGGAAAATCTATAGACGAAGAAACTTAACCGTGTACTACCTACACGTCTTGAGAGAAGAAGCTATATGACTTTGAGGTACATTCTCTCCATTCAAGGTTATTTTGTACACGTACTTTGCAGTAAGTAATATGTTTTATTTGTTCCACTTTCCTTAACGTTGTGGGTATAGTTCAACATATTATATTTTCATTGGATTATATCCTGTAATTCATCGGACAACATCGATTACAACCGTTTGAGGTGTTATCCTAATAAACTGAGTGAAACGTTAATTTCATATATGCAACCTACGACAACGACTACTCCCGTTCGAGATTTCTGTTAATCCACCTAACTACATCTTCGAGCTGTATGTCAAAGGACATAGAGGTATCTCATATCTCTTTTGCTCCTGATGACATTGGCAATTTACCACGTCAATACCTCTCGTCGCTTCTGCGATCCTGATACTACATTTTTAAAAATACAATGTTGTCAGTCGAGCATAAGATTTTTCTGTTTGAAATGCTCGATCTGCAGGAATTGAGATTTGCTATCAGGATCGTAGAAGCGCGAAGAGATATCGAATCTGCTTCAGCAATAAAATTTTTAGTAAAACGAAATCCACCCTGATACTGTATTTTTAGAAACGTGTATGTGCACATCGGCCATCAGATTATTCTGGCTGTAATATCTAAATTCTAGGAACTGAGATTTGGCATCAGGATCGCAGAAGCGCGATGAGGTATCGATTCTGCACCTGATATAAAATTGGCGGGAAACTTAAATTCATCCCTTCATCTTGTCGATTCTGCAATCCTGATACTAAATCTTTTAAGAAATGAGCCGTGGAAGCTGGGATTTGCTATCGGGATCACATAAACATGAAGAGGTGCCGTATTTAACCCTGATATAAAATTAGCGGAAATTTTTAATTTATCTCGTAAACATGCAATGCAATGCAAACTCACACACTGGGCATCGGATTTTCCTGACTTCAACCTACAAATTGTAGGATCAGAGACTTTTTATCTAGATCACAGAAGCACGGGAAGGTATTAAACTAGTCCCTTATATACAATTGGAGAAAATTCAAATTCGTCACGTAAATAACCCATATCGGTTCTGCATCCTGATACTAAATTTTTTGAACACAAGGTTACACATCGCCCGTCAGAATTTACTGGCTGCGACTTGCTATCAGAATGACAGAAGAGCGAAGTGCTATCGAATTGACACCTCATATAAACCTGATGGGAGAATCAAATTTATCTCGTAAATATATCTTGTCAGTTATGCGATATTGTTACTAAATTTTAGACCTCTTGTCGGTCCTGAGATCTTGATACTGAAACACAAAATCACACATCAATCAACAGATTTTCCCGGATGCAATCTCCAAATTGTATTAACTGAGATTTGGTATCAGCACCGTAGAAGCGCGAGGAGGTATCGAATCAGCTCTGATATCAAATTGGCGAAAAACCCAAATTCATCACTTAAATGTACATACAGGGTGTTCCATAATTATTGCGACAAAATGATAGGGGTTGTAGAGGGCATCAAAATGAACAATTTTGCCTTATAAACCCCTGTTCGGAAATATGCCGTTTGGGATGCAGCAAAAAAAAAGATCAGTTTCTTGAAACAGCTTACCTACAGTAATTGCTCAAAGTGTCCTCCACCTTGCTCAATACACAGCTGTGCACGATTGTTCAATGATCGGCGAACTCTGTGGCATACCCCCGGTTTGTCCTGAACATGTGCGGACGCGGCCATCACTCTTCCCAGTAGCTCTTGTTGGTTGGGAACAGTAGTTTCGTACACTAAAGCTTTCAGATGGCCCCAGAGAAAATAATCCAGTAGGGTCAGGTCGGGTGACCGCGCAGGCCAAGGCACAGGGCCACCTCGGCCTATCCACCTATTTGTCGTCCAAATACTGCCGCACTTGTAAAGAAAAGTGGGCTGGAGTTCCGGTAGCACATGCTGTAAGAATCGACCATAAGCATGCCCATCCAAACGTGATGGAAGCAAATATGGCCCGATGATATGCTCGTCCACAATGCCGCACCAGATGTTAATTGAAAACTATGTTGGTCTCTATGGATGGCTATGGCATGAGGGTTTTCTTCATCCCAAATGTGACTGTTACGGCTATTAAAATAACCGTCCTTTGTGAAACAGGACTCGTCAGTGAACAAAACGTAGCGACCAAAGTTTGGTTGCCTCAACTCCTGCTGCAGCCACCAACGACAAAAACGTCGACGCGGCAGATAGTTTTCTGGACCCATGGCTTGGACTTTTAAAAGGTGGTATGGGTGTAGTTGCTGGTCATGGAGAACCCGCCAAGCAGTAGTTTGAGACGCTCCCATTTCATGTGCAATAGCACGCACGCTTGTACGCGGATTGGCCTCTAGTTTGACGCACCACTCAGATAAATTAAATGAATCGGTGTGGAGAATTTACGATAACAAAAATGTAAACACAGCAGGCTTTTTTTTACAAATCGGCGAGACCATGAAATGTGCTAGACGAACATTTTGCAGCTGTTGAATTTTTTGTTTCTCTTAAGGTAAAATTAGCGGTAGTGCTCAAACGGCATATTTACGAACAGGGGTTTATAAGGCAAAATTGCATATTTTTATGCCCTCTACAACCCCTATCATTTTGTCGCAATAATTATGGAACACCCTGTATATTGTTGCTTTTGCGATCCTGATATGCTGAAATACTCGAGCTGATTTGCTATTAGGATCACAGAAGCGCGAGGAGGTATCGCATCTGCTCCTGATAAAAAAGCGGAAAATTCATTTTTATCTCGTAAATACATCTTGCAGTTTCTGCGATCCTGATACTCGATTTATAGAAACAGATTCTCTATCAGGATTACAGAAGCACGAGGAGGTCTAAAACCTATTTCTGATATAAATTTGGAGGCAAACTCTCCAGGTTTGAGATCCTTATACATAACTTTTAAAAACACAAAGCCGCACATCATACAATCTTCAAATCGCAGAATAGCAGAAACACGAATAGAAGTCAAATCTGTTCCGGATATGAAGTTGGCGGTAAATTCATCAAATGAATACTTCCCGTCTGTTCTGCGATCCTGATACTGAACTTTTAGAAACACAGTCGCACATAAAACAGATTTTGTTAGCTGCAACCTCCAAATTGTAGGGACTTGGGTTTGGTATCAGGATAATAGAAGCGTGCAGGAGTATCAAATTTGCCGATATAAAATTGGCTGGAAATTCAAATTAATCCTTTCAATACCACTGGATTCGCGCAAGAAACTTACGAAGTTGATTTAACCACACTATATCTAAGCAAGTTGATAACAGAAATAAGTGACTCATTAAAAATTAAGCATTTTCTTTATTTAAATAGTCTCATTGCAAATACAAAATTTAACATAGAAATATTCACAAAAATATCTTGAAAATATCTGTGTATGACATTATGAACATGGCAGTAAACGGTCTTAAAGATACAAAATTTTGAGATCCAGTCATGACCCCAATTAATCAACATAAATAATGCTCGATTCTCTTACAAAGTACAATATTCACTATATAAATACAACATAAAATTTTCAATGTACACAAAACTTAAAGCCCTTTTCTTTTTAAACTTAAATATTGCAAACATCATTTTTTACATATCACAATGTACATTTTATACAAGGCAACAGTCTTTCTGCTACTGTATCATCTGTAAATATCTGTTTTCCTCTAACAGAGAACTTAGAGATGATGTCATGTCATTTACAATCATATTTGACGTCGCTTTGTCACCACATTTCAACGTATGCGTACTGTTTGCAACCTCTGAGCTATTAACCCAAGACTGACAATTCTGAACGTACTCCAACGTCCTTTGATAAGCATCTTGCCTCATGCCAAGCATCGTTTGATTCGACACTTGAGATTGGTTGTCTTTACATTGATCTACGTTCTTCTGTGGGTTGAACTTTTGACAGTTCTGACAGTTGTTGCAGTTCTGACAGTTGTTGCAGTTCTGCGGGTTCGGAACGCATTGATTCGTATATGGAGGTGTTGGGTAACAATTTGGAGCATAATGCGTAGTACATGGCCTGCTCATTTGTGCTTGTTGAGGATGGTTCACAACATCAGCAGGTGCAGGTGTGGCCATAACAGGAGATGGTAAAGGTTCTGAACCATTTGGCATACAATTGTAACCAGATCCTTGATACGGTTGACAGTTGTTAAAGTTATTACCATTCATCTTGTTTTGACAGTTCACGTAACCGTTCTGATTTTGGTAGTTGTGCGTTCCACAGTTTTGTTGCATGGGATAGTTATTACCAACTATTTGCCTGTTTTGACCTTGGTAGTCTTGGTTTCTGCACATATTATTACCAACTTGCTGTTGTGGCATCATGTTGCAATTGTTCCAATTCTGTTGCATGTTATAACAACCACTTTGAGCCATTTGCTGTCTATTGTAACAGTTATTATTAATATGTGCTTGGTGCATCATCATCTGACCACCATGCATTTGATTCATAGTCTGCATACCAGGCGACATGACCTGCTGACAACCTATTCCTGGACTTTGTACCATTTGGTTCATGCTTGGTGCCGGCGACAACATACTGTAATTTGAAGGTGGAGACTGCATCATCTGGTAGTTAGATGGTGGCGATGCTATCATCTGATTCATATTTGGAGCCGGAGACATGATTTGATTGTTTAAATTTGATGGAGCTGGTGAAGGCATCATTTGATTTAAACTCGCAGGAGAGGCCATCATTTGGTTCATAGCACCAGCTGGGGAATTCAACACTTGGTTCATGTTTGAAGCTGGAGAAGGCATCATTTGGTTCACGTTTGAAGCAGGAGAAGGCATCATTTGGTTCACGTTGGAAGCAGGAGAAGGCATCATTTGGTTCACGTTTGAAGCTGGAGAAGGCATCATTTGAGTCATGTTTGAAGCTGGGGACGGGATCATTTGGTTCATGTTAGCAGATGGGGAAGCCATCATTTGATTCAGGTTTGCAGCAGGTGATGCTAGCATCTGACTGGAAGGATTTGGTCCAATTTGTGAATGAATCTGGTTGGTACTTGAAGGAGATGGCATCATTTGGTTCAAGCTTGATGGAGAAGGCATGATTTGATTCAAACTACCAGGAGATGGTATCATTTGGTTAATGTTCGAAGGCGAAGGAATCATCTGGTTCAAATTGCTAGGTGAAGGAAGGATGCCAAAACTCGACGGGCTACCAAGAGGCTTCTGTGTAATGTTCCTACTTGAAGTATCACCATTTCCCGACCAACTCATATTCGTAACCTCTCCCGTGTTGTTGTCAGCAACTTGGTTCAAGTATCTAACCATCTCATCGGGTATTACTAACTTATTCTCCACCATTTCTCCCTCACCAACTTCATCCAAGACCACAGCTTGATTGGGATGAATTTCGGAAGAGCTCATGGTGCCCTTTAGAGGTGACAAGGTCACTGAAGCAGGTCTAGGTGGTGGACTTTTTCTATCTGTCATTGTGTGAGTGGGTTCTGACATTCTTCGTGCTTCACTACTCGCTGTTGTCAAATTGGTCAGGGTGTTTGACAGCCAACTTTGCTGCATGGCGGTGTGCTGGAGAGATGCATTCTGTGTCTAGAAAAATAAATAAGGTCAGTTATTTAGTATATCTTTCGTATGCTTGTTATACAAAGTACCGAAACATGACAGTCGCTATTGCAAAGTTTGTACTAGGTTACTCGTTGCTCAAATAGGTCGTGCCCCGTGAGCGCCAGCTATGGAGGAATGACGCAACTGTAGTTTTGCTGATATTTACCTGAACTACTACAACCCGCATTTCGCTGGATGGTTTGCGGGTTGCAGTACTCTATACTGAGTATACCTTTCGAACAAGATGTGATGAAAAAAAAAATGACTGACTATACTTAGAAAATATAGCATATAGCTACTAGTCTGTACAACAATTAGTATACAATATGGAAAACTGTTTAGATTGCAGCAGTAACGCAATCGAATATCAGAGAATCAGAGAATATGTCAAGCTTTCTAAAATGTTTATTTTCTTCTTCAGGACGTACTGCAAGAATATTACATAAGCTACAAAACTCTTTACAGTATCAATACAAACTAGTTATAATGTAGAAATCATGTTGTAAGTAGTTTTAATTGATATTTTAATAAGTTCTGCAGTTCATGCAATTTCTTGTAGCACGTCCTGAAGAAGCAAATAAACATTTTCGGAAGCTTGACACATGAATAGAGAAGGAAATCTCCTTCTGGCCTCCTGATTTTTGATTGCGTTAGGGTTGCAACCTTGAGGGTTTTTAAGAGATTTTGCATCTTAACTAGTCAGCCAAGACTATCCTCTTTATCTCACAATGAGTATGTGTATACAGGTTCATGCCATGATCTTTCTTGACCTTTGTGCACCATCTCGTCTGATAACTATCAGACGAGATGCCACGCCTACTCACCGTAAACTAATAATGATAATCTTTTACTAAAGATGCTGTAATTCGCATTTCTCCAACATGGTTTGACGGTTACAAGCTGCCGAGATAGTATATGTATACCTTTGAACGTCAGTCGTTTCATTACGCACACGTAATTTTGCATTAACAACATAGCCGATATTTTCTGGCATTCCAAATACCAAATACTTTCCATTTTCCAACTTCTCACTAGGATATCTCACCATAGTTGGGTAATTTGACTGTAGCCTATTCTCTTATCTGATAATTGTAAAATCGCAAAACGGGTGATTTTCCTTTTCATGTCTTGCATTTACGAAATTCAGCAAATTGATGAGATATTATAGCATAATAAGAAAAAGCTGATGAGTAATTAATGTCTAGCTTTGCATGCGATTCTTATTTGACGTCAGTGTATTTGAGGCAAGATCCAAGAAAAGCATTATCACCTCAGATTATTAGTACTGTAATCATGACTTTGTGCAATGCAGTGCTTTCTTCCGGGTATAAAACTTACAGCTTAGGCCAAAGAAGCTATCAATGGCCTACGGTAGTGCCATCCCCGAAGCAGATGTTACTTCACATCAAAGCCAAACCATATGGCTCAAGTATCTTGACGTTTAGTTAACTCATACAGCTTCTACAAGCGAACATGAAGTGAATCATATATAGTTTTCAAGTGAAATTATGGCGACCAGATCGCTATCACTTATCATTTTACATTTAATAATAAGGATGCGGATGTCAAATCTGGTTGACATACAATGACGAATATCAGGTAGTCACGTCTAGAGTAGTTATCGCAATCTCAAAGTGGGCAACACTGAGTTAGTGCACTACCGTAAGCAATAAGAAATTAAAAAAATCGCAATTTGGCATAACGGTGCCAAAAAAAGGTCATTAATGAGAGATGTTTAATGGTCTTAGGTTTTTCCAAAGAAAATGTCACCGTGGAACTAGCTGGCATTCATTTATGCTCTGCTGAAGGGATGGCACTATTAGAGGTCATTTATAGCTCCTATGGCCTGAGCTGTAAGTTTTACAGTATAGCTGTAATGCACGAAGTAAATTATTAATGTACTCTGTGTTTATATTGATTCCGTTGGTTTCTTGCCTTAAATACACTTCCTGACTTACTTGAGATATATGCAAAGCTAAATTGGTTGCACATCAACTTATTCATCCTGGATGTTACATATGCAAATCTGCTGAATTTCAAAAATGCGGGAGTTGAAAAAGGTAATCCGTCTTTGGTTAGTAATATTACAACTAATAGATGAAAAAATAGGTTACACACATATTATTTATCGATACCCTAGTGGACAGCTGAATGAAGAGTATTTTATACTTGGAAAGCCAGAAATATTGCCCATTGTTCATACAAAAATACTTACCAGATGTCATGCAGTTATAACAACTAGCAAAAAAGTGATTTGGCCATATTTATGTTTCTGATGTGGCCAATGCACTTAAGCATCCAGATGCGATCTTAATACTCGACCATATTTTCAACCTCACATCTTGTTCACAAGTATACTGTATAGACTATTTCGGCAGCTTGCAACTAACAAAGTATGCAGACGAAATGTGACTTGTAGCACCTTAGGCATCAGGCTCGTTCAGTCATTGCTCCACAGGTGACGTTCGCAGGGGATAGGCACGAAATGGGCTAGCAACTACTTATTTTTAATGACTTTATATAGAGTTTTTATGTATGACCCCTACCGATCATTGAGAAATACCTGTCAAATATTGTGAAATGGAGATTTTATCAATAACGTAGTAAGTAAGACAGTACGAATACGGTCTAAACATACCTGTAATACCAGATTGCTGTTCATCCCACTTGAAACAGAAGCGGCTTGAAGCTTTTGCAATTGACCTGCAAGCAGATGACTTGGTGGTGGTGGGGGTATTGAACTACCTCCTGTAGTCGTCGTTGACAGCTGACTAGACCTCCTCGAACTTCCGACTGATATTGGATCGTAGAAGGAACCTTGTCCTGTGGTTTGAATGCCTGGCCTAGATACCTGCAAAAATAATGACAAAATTGAGTAATGGAATATCATTCCAATCTTTTGTATTGGGCAATGGATAATTTTGGAGTTGTTTCTCAGTCTCTCTTTTTTTGGTAGGGCAGTAGGGCTGTCAAGACAAGAGTAATATGCAAAAAAATCGCTCTAGGTAGCAGCACATATTGGGACGAGAAGTTATATGGAAAATGAAGTCTAATTTCTGAAATGAGGTTCCAACAGTTAATATGCTGTAATGAGAACACCGTATTTACTGTCCAAAGCCCAATTTATTACTCTACACTAATTTATAACCCTTCCAACAATTTATGACATATTTATAGCCATGTCGACTGGACTATGTTGACGGGTCGCTACTCGGTCATTGTCTTCCTTCCACTGTCGTCGCGGCCATATATTTTGACATCAATCAATCTAGAAGCAACCAGAACATTCGCGCAATATTTCTCGAACAGTTCCGATGCCAACCGAGAAACTTCTCCACCGCTCACGCACGTAAACGCAATCTCTCTCGAAGCTTCGAAAGCTACAGTACATGATAGTATAACTTTGCTTGCCTAATTTTGCGAGTTTTTTCTTACCATTTAAGGTCAAAGTTATGACGGTGTTATAATACAACTATTTTCTATCAGAAACCAGAGAATGCGCATAAATTCGAAAAATGCAATAGTAGCAATCGAAATACTTCAAGTTATCAATGCTTGGAACTAATTGCCAATGCGAGAATCTTATCAGTGCTTATACCGTAGTTTATATGTATGTATGTTTTGCTATACCGTTGTTACAGCGCTTATGTCCAAGAAAAAACCCATATTTCATAACCTTCAAGATTAAAAATTTCAAGAAAGGTTGATATTTTGCGCGATATGCATATTGTTTTGGATTTGTATTTTTAATAAAAGAGACACAAATGATAGTTGGCTTCATATTCTGCGATTTACAAAAGCTATTCGATATCATCTTTTAACACATTATTTCACAAATTGTAATCTCACAACTTTAACAAAGACATCATGGGGCTCCACGGTAGGCAACAATTTGTCATCAGGAAACTTCGGGTAGAACAGTTCCCCGATATACTTTAATAATGGCGTATCACTCTTTATCTCACTTTAGCTATGGTCTGATAGTTTGGAGTCACTATCACCTTGCCGCATAGTCTTTTAGTTTACAAAGTTGAGAGATTGATTCTTTGAAACGTTACCAAGAGGATATTAAAGATGATACATTCGTCCATTTATTCAGGGTGACCCATTTTAATCACTCCGCCTAAGTATTTCAAAGACTACGCATCCTAGAAAACTTTTTTTGTATTATAAGATGCTAAATATTTTACCTGTGATGCCAGACTACTTTTTCGACTGGCAGCGTCAGCACTGCGCATGCTGCCATAGTAAGAGCTGACCGTAGAAGAGCTATCTCTCCTAAGCTGAGCCTGTACGGCTGTGGATGGTTGCAGCCTCTGCTGAAGCTCGGTGAATTGGGTCGTTGGTTTGGCCGTAGATGTTGGGACAGTGGCACCACCTGTAGTCAAGAAAAACCGGCAATGCTATAAAGACCGTAAAGATAGAAGAATTGTTCAAACCCAAAGGATGGATTTGTCTACAGAGTTCGGTTCTAAATTCAAATAATCTAAGCTCGATTGTTGTAAAAGGTACTTTGAGATTTTTGTTTTTGACTAAACCCAATAATTTTGTGAAAATATCATGCCTGTTTATATTATGAGAATGTACAGTTATGGAGTTTTATGGAAGTATCAGTTTTGATTTTTTCAAGTACGCAAATGGACTTTCATCTGGATCACTGGATGTTGTCGCTCCATCAAGCAACGAAAAATATACTTTTGGTGCCTCCTGGACTTTCTGTGCACTAGGCTTATTTCCCGAAAGAAACTTTCATAATTGTTCCCTCTAATATAGTTCTTTGCTTTGATCTATGTACCAGATTCGCATTTGAAATCCGAAGTATCTGTTTTTGAGCCATCCTTTATATTCAAAACCATCTCCTTACCCTCCATCTTGAGATCGGTAATCCTCCGATTGAGATCGGCAATATTCTTCCTCTGCACCGCTGGCGCCACCCCTTTTGCCCTGGGCTTAACGCGCATGCGCGGCACAGCCTGCGCGGCTGCAGTGGCACCGCCCACTCCTCCAACCATAGCCCGAAGCACCACTGGCAGGTCGTCGATTTCAAGGTCTTCGGCGTCATACGCCCACGGTGGATCTTCTCCTCCTCCTTGGCCGACACCACCGGTGTGATCTGAGTGGCGTGGGTGGAAACTTGAGGGGCTCAGGTCTGGAGCGGAGAAGTCGTCTGTAGACAAAGAAAATAGTGAGGCGACGCTTAGTTTTATCTTTAGCACTGTTTGAGGTTTACGGAAAATTATCCTGGAGCAGGACTCCTATTCTTCCACGAAAGACCTACCATTGAATCCTCCGTTGAGCGTCATCATGGGGCTGGTCTGATGACCGCCCGCCCCCGCTGGTGAATTTGCCGCATCCGACTCCGATTTCACACTTGGGCTGCTCAAGCTGGCCGTCTTATTCGAATCCGGCTCGCTGCGCGGACTAGCCCCTTCGGCCACACCCATTCCTGCACCGCCTCCACTTTCTTCGCTGCCCGCACCATCGTTGGTTCCGCCTTTGTGCTTCTTGCTAGCGTAGAACTCCGCCCCGTGGACGGTCTTCACGTGCTTGCGCAAAGAAGAGGGGTCCGTATAGCGCTTAGTGCAGCCGGGAGCTTTGCACACGTACGGTTTCTGGAAAGGTTGAAATAGATAAGGGACTTGCAGAAAAAAACACATATTAACATGTAGACAATGAACTAATACGTTAACTGCGAGATCTCCCCTGGGATATGTAGTCGCACTACGCAAATTATATGCGACATCAAAGATGGCAAGGCGCCATCTACCGTGCGCTGACGGTAAAACTTTTATTTTTTATTTTTATAGAATGTTGCTACTTTTGATAGAATCATTTTCTTTGATGGGCAAGCTCTTTGGATATAAACTCTGTGAGGTACATATCTCAGGGGACATGTGCGCACCATCGTCATATAGGCATTTTGGGTTGGTAATCTCACAGTTGTTGGTTGGGAGATTTTCGATTGTTTTCATAATAAAGTTTTGTACGAACTACCATCTAACAAACAGAGCAACTCTTTATTTTTTCCAAGTAAAGATAACAATAAAAGGTTAAAAAATAGCCCCATCATTGGGCAGTTAGTTAATAGATGTCGATGACTGTTACCTCGATATCGTACTCCGGGGATATGCAACGCACCATACGTCAAATTAGCAAGTACCTCTCCCGCAGTCAACCACATAATATACATGATGTTCTTAATGCTGATTACTTTATACAGCGTGTATTTGTTGTAAAAATAAGCATATTTTTCTAGCCATCAAAGTCTTAAGATTACAGAGTAATCAGGTTTCAAAAAAAATCTGCAATTCAAATCTGGCTTTGCCTATAGCAAAAATAAATAGGTGAAAAGCTACGAAGAGATGTTTTGTTTATGAATAGTAGAAAATAGGTAACCCGAGCGATACTAGCAGCAGAAATACGTATCACTCGGGTTACCTATCCTATTTTCTGCTCGAATCCACTTTCCTCTTTTTTGCGGATTTTGTCCATTATTTTTCTACTTTTTGTTATTATATATATATATATATATATATATATATATATATATATACGGATTAAGTTGTTAACGTTACACATTTTTTTGTTTCTTGGTATCTCTTCGTACGTGGCTTCGTTTTCGAGGGAAAAAATAGAAACAACTAAACTTCATGTCGAAAAATTGTCAAAATAAAATCAACTTTGGTAGACTACTACTAAATGTTTATCTGTTGTTATGAACTAATTTTTGTATTACTCTGTCAAAAGGTAGATTTTTTTAAGCTGTGACACTCTGTATATTCTTTACAGAACACCTAAATTTGATTCAAGAATGCTTCCTTGTAATTACGGCCTATCATTAAGTAACACTCTATATAGTAACAGTAAACGGGACAACTTCAAACAGTATTTGTAAACAACTTGTGACAGGGTGGTACTTGACAGTGCTTTTCAGATAGACGTACTTTTCTTCATTTCTTTCTCCTTTTCACTGTAATTTTGTTGATTCCGAAAACATTTAGAACACCCTGTATAAATAGTTTGCATCTACCAACATCTATCTAACATACCGACTTTAGCAAAAAAAGCACATTTACGAGCAGCATTTAATGTCCGTCTACAGATTGCAGCTAAAGCTAATTGCACTTACTTAAATCGTCCGGGTCGAGTGTGGCAAAGAGACAAATAATAATAACCATGTTTAATAGAGATAGATGTGCATATGGTGGCCGCTTAATTAGAACGATGCAGATTAGAGTGATTAAAAGGAGAGTATACATATTACAAATAATAGAACCACTCTGCAGACAATAGCAGCGATAAATTGTGTGATACTTTTCAGTTGAAGCGACCGCTTAGGCGAGGCTGTCCGTCGTAAAACTGTATTTTGTGAAATGCACTACTTTTCTCTGGAAAGGCCGGTGGCGTAGGAAATATTTCCTACTAGGGGTCTAGGTACCCCAGTTCCTACGTCCCTGCTTCAGCTTGGGTAGGGAAAATGTGTTTATTGCTTATCATGTGCTCATTGAACGTCTAAAATCTTAACTCAGTATCTTTACCCGCTCCGTACATATATAATAATATTCTTCATTCTGAAACACCCTGTATTTTCCTACAGACATACTCCTACTCAATTTGGCACTGAAATTTTTCAAGCATCTAAGTATGAAAACAAAATCCAATTAATTGTGTTAAAATTTCATAAATATTGTCCAAAAAAGTTTAACTATAGCAGCATATATCACAAAAACAGCTTCAGAAAAATGAAATTTAAAAACACACATCTGGAACAGCCTTAAATACGAAAGGTTTTCCACAAGTAGTTCAACTTTTTGTAATCGGTAAATATACTTTTTAAAAAAAAATATAAGTACCTCGTTACTGTGCGTCCTATTCTGATGTTTGGCTCGATCCGATGCATTGCTGAACGCTTTTGAACAGCCTGGATACTCGCAGGTGTAGGGTTTTTCACCAGTGTGAGATCGTAGGTGGGTTTTCAGATTTTCTAGCCGGGAATATGCCTTTGCACAACCTTCAAACTGGAATAGAAGAACCATTTTCATTAGAAGTCTCTTTTAGCATTGCCGCATTAATTTCAGAGTCGAAATTACAGCTAGTTTCACTTGCATATAATAGTGCTGTAGCCGACCGCCCTCGCGCGTCGTGGTTCGGACGTGACGTCATATGACATAAGTTCGGCCGGACGACAAGACATATCATATTCATCCTCATTATAGACATAAAATCAATACAGAGGAAGAAGGTTTTCTGCATACGGATTCCACTAATCTTCCAAAGGCGGACATAATAATGGTTAATGGTTAAACATACTACTCGTATATGATACATCTATGCTTTGGCAAGCATTAACATTTACGATTAAGCCCATACGAGATCGACGCCATAGTGGTTCAAAGGTCCTAAAATATGTCCAAAATTATGAAAATGCACTATATTTTACAAAAAAATTCATTTCTACGTTTTCCAGGTCGCTGAATATTAATATTAATAATAATAACAATAATAATAAGGCTAAGTTCAGCTTTCATTCCTAGAGGAATAGCTGGTATTCCACTTAACCACACACTTATCTAAATTCAAGTTTAAAGGGTAGAGATATAAAAATAGGATAAGATACAAGAATAATATTTAATTAAAATCAGCGGTTCCAAGACGTAACTAATACAAATAAAAGAAAGGCGAAATATTAACAGAATACAGAGACAAAGAAAAAAGGGAAAAAATACAAATAGAGATACATGTAATCATATCAGATTGGTGCATATTGAGATTATACAAAGCATCGAAATAATCCATTTAGATATTCAACATGATTTATTACTGTAGCGAGTTTTCAGAAACCTAGAATAGTATTTTGTAAGAGAATCTAGCGATTTGGATTTTAAGTATTGAGGGGCAGCATTATATGTTTTGGAGATATTATAAGAAAAGGATCTTTCAAAAGAAAAAGGTCTCTGAAAAAAAAGTATCTATCCATTTGTCAAAGGTCAAAATGGAGTACCGATTTGCAAAAAAATGTTTTGATTGAGGTTAAATTTAAGGTTTATATGTTTTCAGGATCGCCAATATATGATTGCAAAAATGCTTTGGTCCTGTTCAAAATTAAGTTTCGTGTGTTTTGAGATCGCCAACAAGGAATTAGACATCGATTTATGTTAGCACAAAAGTTGTCAATTGCGCTCAAATTACAGTTTTATATGTTTTCAAGGTAAATTTTATGTATTATTGTATAAAGTCACATAATTGCCAAACTTGCATTCAGCTGCAGTAAAAATTGACAAAGTTTTTAAACGCGTGTCATGTGATATCATTACTCGGTCTCACGATTCTTGAAATAAGCAACTTCTGGGTAGAGTCCTTATAGAAAGGTGATAATCTTTTCGTAGTTTCACAATACGAGTAATATCCACTACTTACCGTGCATTTGTGAGGTTTTTCTCCTGTATGCCTTCGCATGTGCACTACCAGCATGTACTGCGCCTTGAAGGGTTTTTCAGCCCTTGAACATCCCTCCCATCGACATACAAAGGACTTTTTGTTCGCGTGAATGTGGTCATTGTTTATATGCTGAAAAGAAACGATAAACATAGTTTTGAACGTTCATAAAAAGTCAATTTTACAATTTAACAGACTTCCTCAGCCAACAATTCTGATATCAGCATACTGAAACAATTTTTGCGCTTAGATAACTAAGTTTTGCATTTTTTTTTCAAAAATTATCGTTACAAAATATAGGCAATGCATGCCTTAGCATTTCACTTTATTTCAATACCACAAGAAATACTCATAGTCCAGGTCGTATCCTCGCATCTGTTCCGAAAAACATTCTTATTCGGAATCTTCGCATAATTGCATGTTTCCAGGCCTAAAATTGCCTCAAAAATTGTTTAAACATTTTTTCAAAACAAATTCCAAAAATAGTTTTTTTTGCTCCGTTGAAACTAGCATTTTTAGGTGTTTCAGGAAATTCTGGACAAAACACGTATTTTAGAACTTTCATCTATCGAAAGATACGTGTATAAGCAAAGAGTGCAAAAAAATCAATTTTTGACCCAGAAAAAAAATATGAAAAAACAAAAAAAATTAATTTTGTCACAAAACCATCAACGGTAATTTGTTAAAAAAAGTTTTTCAAACAATTTTTGTACACAATTTTGGGCCTGAAAACATGCGGATTTGTTAAAAGGTGTCATTTTCGAATAAAATTATGAAAAATATCCGTATCATATTTTTTCAAGCAGATGCGAAAATACTACCTAAACTATTAAACAAACGAGTTAAACGTTATCCAAAACAGCGATCTACGCGTGGAAAGATTCGATGAAGAAAAAAATTAATCCGTAAATTGATTACTTACCTTAACTAGTTCCTCTTGCGTTCCAAACTCCGTGGAACAATCCTTCCAATGGCAATTGGTTTCGATGAAATCGCCTGGTTCATCTTTGAGATCAGTCGGGTCATTTTGACCATCACTATTTGGTGCGTACGAGTTAAGGGAAGGCTCCTTCTTTATTCTTGGCTTTCTGGTCGAGTCCACGTCCAAGTTCGTTATTGTACTAGTGTCAGACTTTTTTCTATCGCTCAGGATCTGTAGAAAAATATAGCAGTTGCAAAATGTGGTACATGGTGCTTCCAAAGCATTGACAAAAGGGTTAATTCGTCAGACTTTTCTAAAATTATACAAGATGATATCTCCACCTAAAGCGGTAGGGTTTCGAGGGGACAAAACGACAGTGACTTTGACAATATATCGTCATTGAAAAATGGAACGAATTTTACGTCTGCGTGTCACATTGGCAATGACCTTCAAAGCCATTTCAAGGTCAAATAAAGACGTCAAAAACAGTCCCTTCTCGCAAAAATGTGCGACAGAACAGTTGTGACGTTTGTAGGGATCGTCCAAGATTGGCTTTGGTCATCACCTTGACCATAACCTCAGGATCAAGCAAACATTTTCAAAGAAAACCTCTCATTTATACACTATAAATGGAAATCAGGAAATTACATCCATATGTGACCTTGACCGTAAAGCCAAGGTCGTGTCAAGCTTAAATATTATTTGAGATCAATATCACAATCGGATGTAGTTGCCTGTCTATTTCTAGTACAAAAATAAGGGGTTTCCTTTGGACATTTTGACTAGACCTTGAAGGTCATGGTAAGGTCACCTTTGGGTGATCCTTACAAATCTGATAACTGATTTATATGATTTTGAAATGGCTTTGAGGGCAATAGTCAAGGTAAAATTTGCTCCTCTTCTCAATTCCGATGTAAAAAGGGAGGGTTTCATTTGGAAATATTCACTTGAAAGCACCTTAAAGGTCGTAGTCAAGGTCATTGACAAGGTCACCATCATCTATAAACTCACGGCAGACCGGATATATTTCGACAAGCTGTTCCTTAGCGACTGTATCGCGGCTGGTCAGAAGAGAGCGGATGTATCCTGGCAGCGCTTAGCTGAGCGAGTTTAATTGCATGTGGTGGCGCAGACCATCTGTAACGCGGAGGTATCGAAGGGAACGTTTTAGTTGCAAATATTCTAGTTTGTAACGATGCAGCAGAATACATTGGCTAACGTCCATTTTTGAATATAATTACATTTTCCAAATAAAGCATGATACTCTACATTGAGATCCCAAATACCGTATATTCACCCATATAATAATAATAATAATAATAATATAGACAACAAAAGCGAAGCTCAAAGCTACTTTTGTACCTACCCTTCAGTAGCTGTTGTACATTAATAATTTCAAATTTAACATACTTCTTCATGATATTAAACTGTCTATTTGTACCTCACGCTTTCACATGTGTATATCGACTAAGTATTTTTTAAGTGCTAATTTACGTATTGGTAATTTTTTAACTTTCAAAGAGAGTGCATTGAAATAATCCTCATAATACTCACGTCAGTCTTGTTGTTATTATTGTTAACCGCTGCAGCGGCCGCAGCTGCGTTGTGAGACATGTGCAGCGGGTGGTGCCCCAGCGAATAGACAGAGTGGTGGGGATGCGGGGGCGGCCCTCCAGGTGGTGGGAGGGGCAGCAACGAGCCCGAACTTCGCATCAGGTGGGCCTGCAGTTGCTGTAAGTGTACCGCTGGGTGGACCGACAGTGCGGGGCTTATGGCACCTGCAAAAAGCACCGCCTTCGTCGTTAGGTCTAAGAAGGAGGAGGTACAGATATCATGATGAGTCTGATAAACAAGCATCACTATAAATGGTGTTTTAAAACATTAGGCAAACATTTTTTGTGCTGGTCCTCTTTCGATTTTCGAAATACTGCTTTGTGTCAGATATACGTGACTCCAAGGCCCGATTTTACTAACTCAAGGTGCAAATAACAAGTGGGACACAAATTCGACCAACGAGAAGACGTCAATGTAAAATTATACTATTTCAATATTAAATCAAAAAATATGTCATAAATCACTTGATTTAGCTACAAAAACTTATTTTTCATTTGCGTCCGGACACATACTCGAAGTCTGATACAATATCCAGACTGATATGACAGCAATTAAATTTGCATTTCATTGAAAATTGTGTCTCACTGTTGCTTACAGATGTCTGCGTCATAAATTCTTCGATCACATAAATAGAATGCTTATTCTTTGATAAACATCTCGTGCCCTCTACTGGGCAGTAGGACAAATACTCCTAGCCTTGACACTGTCACCAGGGCGCAGGGTGGTCCTACCATCCAGTAAACTGCACCACATCGTCCTGTTAACAGTAAGTAATTACTTACTCCATGCTTGTTAAAAGATAATCATTCTGTAATTTTATTTATGTCTTCGAAGAATTTATTAAGCAGAAAGTTGCACAGCAACAATGACACCTTGTCATTTTCAATAAAATCTCAGTAATGGCGTCGCGCCAATCTACTGTATCAAGTTTGAATCATGTTTCGAGAACGCCACAAATGTCATTTGATTGATGGAATTTGCGTCATCTTTTGTGTCCAGACACAAAATAAAAATAGGTTTTTGTACCCGAATCAGGTTATTATTTAACAAAGATTCTACAACTTCTGTTATCCAACTTTATGAGACTAACAATGAAAGAAAAATCTTTTTCTCAAACATGTCTTTTCCGTGAATATCGTTTTTGATCCATTATTATACAAGAAAAATTGACAATACTGAGTCCCTAGAGATGTAAATGAACGAATTGTTTTTCATGTACCACACCATGTGAGGTTTCAATCAATTAATTTGCTGTCAAAATTCCGTTGATTCATTGTTGACATATCAATCAAGTGAGAGTGATTTGGAGTTATTTTTTATTTTCGAAACAAAGCGGTATATTTAAAACTGTTAGAGGTCCAATAGTTAATTCTTGAAACGCCCAATACGTAATGTTCCATAATAAGCAAAAATATGTTCAATTATTGTTTTGCTTAAGTTATGTGATACTGACCATATTTCTTACTGAAAGAACGTAAGTCCAGAACAGTTTCTTTGGCTTTCTATTATTTTTCTATTAAGTCAAATACCATGTTAAGCTCAAAAAAGTACTTTATAGGTTAAGATCCCAGGACTACCAGATATTGCTTGTACTATCGGCTGCGTACTTACTAAGTTGGGTAGCCGTCCGATTTGGTCGTAGAAGGTGAGAAAGGTTAAGTAAGAATAAAACTAAGTCGACCTAAATTAGGATGATTTTTATATATACTTTGTAAGACATTATTATAAAACTATATTCAGCATTGCCAAACACCTCCCACAGGTCATAACTGCCAGACGTTTCTAACTGTTTTGTATGAGCGTTAAAAAAATGTTTTATAAAAAGTTATAAAGTCCAATATAAAATTGTTCATCTATATTGCATACAGGGTGTCATTGCTATCCAAAACAGTGTTCTGTTTAAAATATAACTTAATCCAATCGGACTATAAAAATTGTAAAACCGTATATGAGACCCTATAATGTTTATTTTAAACTTTTTTTCTAAGCCGTCCTACAAAAAGTTAGGAGATGTCACTTTATGGTGGGACACATTGTTTAAAGCATGTGGCAATAGTTATCACCAGCGGGAAGTGTCTGGCAGTACTGAATATTACTTTATATTCATATTTTACAAAGTATGTATATTCTAGCCGTTCAATCTCCCATGTTTTGTCTTTGAAAAAATAACAAATGTCTGACAGTCCGGGGATCTTACTATATTAAAACTGGTTTATTTTACAATGGCACATTTTTTATTGCCTTCTAAAGAATTCAATTTGTGTCCGACTTACGAGGTTTTTGCTATGACCGATTCAATTCAGTGGCAAATACTTAAAACGGCATACGTTATTTTTTTTTGAGTTGAGGCTTTTATAGACCAAAGATACTAGACGATTTTAATCCTAGCCTAAGTATTTGCAGCATAATTATAATAGAGTGGTTTTCATCACGTCACGAGAGCATTTTTACCTGCGGACAAGTGCCCATAGGACCCACTAGCCGACGACGACCTGGACCCGTTGACAATGGACGCCAAGGAGTTCGGAGAGAACCGTATCATGGAGTTGATGTCGAAGGAGTCCGAGTAGGGGGAGGAAGAGAGAGCACGCTTCCGGGAGGCTCGAATGCTGGCCGCTGCACCCCCTCCCCCTCCAGCACCTGGTCGCGGGCTGTTCAGACGAGAACCTGCAAAAATTCAAAAAATGTTGGGTCCGTTTTATTTATAAATATATAAATAAATCATTACAACATGGATCTCCAGGAACCTCCATTTCCATCTCCTGTAACCACGACCAGATGTAGACAGCGTTATTTCATGCTCATTAGCAACTTATCAGTGCGTTATAGACCTTAGATCTAGTCTTGGAGACAGGAGAAACAGAAAGCAAACAATGGGTATGGTTTTTTAAAAAACTCAAAACATTGTGCGCAAGTATCGCCACCAACCAATGGTTTGCCAGGCAGATTTTCATCCTCATCCCGTACGATGAAGGCGACGAGAGATCTCTAGCTCATAACCGTTCGACGTTGTGCTTTCCATGTATATCCCCAAGACTAGATATAAGACCTATACTGCCGTACTCAGGTAAAAGGCAGTAAAGTTCGTTTCACTTCAGTTCTGTCATAATAACATTATCTATTTAGCTCGAAAAAAACCCAGAGTTTTGAATTCATTTTTCACTAATGAGTTACTAATGATGACGAAACAGCGCTGTCTGCGGTTGGTCAGGGTAACAGGAGACGTAAAGCCAACATGTCCATATTAACCGTATCTATTTATGCACATATGCATAAAAAAGCCATTGCTGGTTCGCGGTGTAAATACTTAGTATTCCAACCACTTAACAGTCAACAGTGATGTCTCTGTGTTTAGCGCAAAACGTCGACAGTGGGCTAGAGAATGTAAGGATCTCTTTAATTATGACCGCCAAGCGACCACGATGTGTTTTATATAGTTCTATAGGTGCCTAAAAATCTTCCGCATTCAAACTAAGGTGACATAAAACGGCATACGTGATCTTGGTGGCTGATCCTAAAACTATATGAGTATAGCTAGGACGTCAGTAATTACTATTGTATAAGGTTAGAAATCTAATGACACTGACGGAATGATCAGTAAATTAAAATACTACTACTTATACCTAATACTGATTTGATAAATCTAGGACTTACCATCTATACTAAAAGGGAATTCTGTACTGGCCAGAGTGGAAGACGGATGGAGATCTGTTAGCCCCCTCGCGCTCAGGTATTCGGGACTCAGCCCTAATCCTGCAACAAAAAATCAGACTTTATATACATATTCTTTTGTGTCGACACACTAGTTGAGATATACAAAATTATCATAATAAAAATACACAGACACACTACAAGCAAATTGGCGAGTTGCTTTCATTCTTGTAATTTACCTGGCACACCCACCAATTTTCGAACAAAGAACCGCATACGCGCATTCACTATTTCTAAGAAACCTCCTGTAGAAAAATGTATGCCTCTTTACCATAATTATTAAAAGATATGTTGTAAGTCCTGGTGCATTCAAGACCTGCTATATGCAGTAGATAATTTAATATGAAAAAGACAGATCTTTAGGTTCCGAAAAATTTAAAAATGTTTGGACTGACATGATTCCATTGATATACATACGTATACATATAGTATACCCTCAACTCAAAAAGCGCGATGTGGTGTTTACAATCTAGCACATGACCGACTTTACGAGGCACAAATGGAACAGTGCACATAGCAATTTACAAGAACCCATTTTTTCAATAAGAAAAGTTTACCTAAATGAATACATAAATAAATAGAGTTTATTTTTATTGGACTAAAAGGAGTATAATAAAAAAAAAACGGCATACTTTGTATAACACATAACAAAATAGCATTACGTACTAGTACATAGTACAAACTATAATAGTCAAAACACATTTAAAAAAATGATTAAATTATTCCTCTACAGATTAAAAATAATTTTCTTTCATACAGCTATAAATACCGCCAGCGTATGCACCTTTTTTACATGGTGATGCAGTTTATTATATAGTTAACGAGCATGACGTCAAATTGAGGTTTGAACTCATATGAGTATATCTCTGAACCAAATTATTCATGCTTTTTTTCACATAAGCAATGCATTTTAATTTGATCAGTGTACGACTTGAGTGTGTCTTACCTTTGTCAAGCTCCCAAGATTCGTTTTAGAAATGGGAAAATTACATTATAGAACAGTTACTCCAGCATATAATGCAGTAATTGACTTATTATCATGAGCCTGATAATGAAATTCAGACATTTAGAGGTGATGGATAAATCTAAGGAATGCAATCTTATTTGAATTTGAATGGCGCAATATACCTTTTTTCTGTATTTTCTCGTAATTCGTCTTGTTCTTTCCTTTGGTCGCATCCATACAGATAACTCTGTCTGATGTACCATTAATAAAAAATTGGGTGCCGTTATTATTGTTAAACATGTTCTTAGGTGCTAGCGGATTCTAAAGAGGGATATCCGGCAAAACAATTGTCGACAACGAACCAGAGAAAGCTGAGCATGCGGGTTGATGCCATTCATGAAACCAGATACGAAGAAAAAGAAGAAGAAGCAATTGTTTTGCGCTTCAAGTTCGTGCCTCCACACTATGGCCTGATTGAGTGAGAAAGCACACTCGGTCAATAATATCATAACCAGTAGGGTCTACTCAAGAGCTGTAAAAATTATACAGGGTGTCGCAATTTAATCTCCCCACCTGAATATTTCAAAAAATACGCATCTTAGAAAAAAGTTTCAAGCAAAAGCTGTAGGGTTTCGAGTGTGACAAATGATGGTTACCTGACGATGACCTTCAAAGTCACTTTAAGGTCGAGCAAACATGTTTCAATCGGACCGCCCTTTTTTACATTTGGATTGGAAAGAGAAGAACATTCTACGCCCGAGTATGACCTTGAGTATGACCATATCTATGGCCTTTAAAGCCATTTCAAGCTCAAGTAGATATGTTGAAAGCAATGTGCTTTAGCAAAAATATTCAACAGCACAGTTGAGAGGTTTGCAGGGGTCACCCAAAAGTGACCTCCAAGGCCAAGTAAAAATGCATTATTTTCAGTCTGGTATTGAAAAAAAAAACAGGAAATGTTACGTCCGAAAGTGACCTCGACCTTGACATTTCCACTGGTGCAAATTGTGTTTAAAGTATTGATTTCACCTTGTAATAGCTTTGAAGGTCATGGTGATGGGCACAATCAAGGCCATACTCGGAAGTGAAATTTCCTCCTTTTTCCAACTGCGGTATATAAAATAGAGAGTCCCATTTGGAAATATTCGGTTAACCTTGAAATGACCTTGAAGGCCACATTCAAGGCCACCAACATTTTCTCGCTCAAAACCCAGGAACTTTTGCTAGGAAGTTTATTTATTTTCTAGGATGCGTAGCTTTCTAGATATTTAGGTGGGAAGATTAAAATGGGACGCCTTATACCCCCACAAACATATCATTTTTCACATTTTAGATTTTAGCATGACATGCATTTAATATTCAACAATGAATCAGCCATAGACATTTGACTGTATTGGATTCATCCTGATTTTTTCGTAACTTGTCTATATCGTCGAAGCAAGATCAAGGAAACCGTCGTATGCAACTTCTGGCTGTGATCGCACTACAAGCCTACAGGAAATTGATTGCTTACGTGATTCTATGCTATAATTCTTTACGATTTAAGAATGTTCTTCTGAGCAAATTATATTTAGGCAGAAAAAGCTTCACATAAACTATGGTTTGTCATAATTTCAATGGATGTGGTGGAGCCTCCTAAGGGGGTGGTTACGGAGAAGCCTATTCTAGTGTGAGGAAATCCGAGGAAACGCAAGGCGATTCGAGGTTCCAAAATATTTTCAGGTGCCGTTAGGCAATTCAATGACATCTGAAGCAATCCTCGGGATAGGGGTAAATTTCTTGGTATACCACAAAAATAAGCCCCATACAAATACGAGTTAGAAGTTATGTTAATACAGCCATGCGGGGTCGTAGAACCATCTTGCGACGAGTGAATGGTAGTTACATATTGTCGATTACACATGCTATTACTCAGCGAAACATTGTCATAATTACGGCTGAAATACATTAGCTTGTTAGTTTTACAAAAAATTCAGAAATCAGATGAAATATAGAAGGATTTATTAGTATAAATTTCGTTCATCTGACCACAGACAGCAAACCAGTGATAGCTGTTTCGTGCTATTTGGCAACTCCTCAGCATGGTGTAGGCTTGGTCTCAGGTAGATCAAGAAACTGAAGCTGAGCAACTATCCTCTACCCAGAGCTTGCCGTTTTCACTCTTGTAGTGCTCGTGTCTGGTAATAGATGGTACTTTGTGCGGTCTTATTTTTATAGACAGATTTTTATTAAATTTTGGAATGGTTTGGAGTGTACGGTACGTGAACGCCTGGTTGCATCTCGTGAACATGCTTATTATGTTTCAAGTCTGTGTTGGATTAGGTTTAGATATAGCTCGAAACTTTTCTACCATACCTCGTAGCTCCTGTTCTACGGATATCCTAATAGCTTCCACGAAGTCAACGAGACGTCGTCGTCGACGCTTGACGAAAACTGAAACCGCTGCTCTGCGGACGGGACGCTGCGCCCGGTTGAAGTTGACGTATTAGCATACGAAATGAGATAATTTGAGCCTTCTCAGTATTATTAATGGTGCCATGCCGGTTGCCAGCGTTTACTAGTCGCTCAACAAAAACCATCACTCAGCATTATGAACCACGGTCGATTTTAGTAACTGCGAAAACTCAAACGGATCTACTCCTAGAAACATTTACTCGTCGATGGTCTCTCTTCCATTATTTCATATTCCACTGTTGAAAGGTTATTTTTGGAAGGAGCAGCTTGTGTTAGAATTTATAATGTTTTGACGGCCTCTTCATATGTAATAAATGTAATAAATTGTAATCTTGGGCTTTTACTCCCATAGCAAAACACCTTAATTCATCTGTGATTAATTTTAGTCTGTTCAATCTTTGTTGATAGGTACTGCAAGGCAAATGCGATCATTCTTCTACTTACCACAGCATTTCCTGTGATCTATATCACTTGTGATACCTAAAATTCCCTAACAGTTCTTATCAACAATATTTATACATTATTATTATTATTATTATTATTATTATTATTATTATTATTATTATTATTATTATTATTATGATAATTGAGATGAGCAGAGTACACAGTACTATAAGCTCATGCAGTAAATATAGTGTACGGACACGTAACACAAATACATCAAATAGAAAAAAATAAAAAAAGACAGTTCATAGCTATAAAGTTTGTACACTCCTCCAGCTATCATACTGCACTTTGAAGATATTAACTGAAGTAGCACTAACCACACTTTCAGGTAAACTATTCCAGGTGTTGAATATGCGGTTGGGAAGAAACCACTGTCGGACTGTTGTTTTAAATGGCTCCTTATGCAGTTTGAAGCTGTGTCCGCGTAGATTGCTGCGCGACAGACGGTATAGATGCATGAGGTTGGTGCCCATCAAACCATGAAGTATCCTGAACGTAACTATAAGATCGCCACGAAGTCTTCGCTCAGAGAATGAGGTCAGGTTGAATAATTCAAGGCGATCTTCATAGCTTGGTCTTCGTGCTCCAAAAGGGATACGAGTAGCCCGACGCTGTACTGATTCGACGAGATTTCTATCGCGTACAGTGTCCCATACCGGGCCAGCGAATTCAAGAATTGGCCTCACGAATGCCTTGTAAATGTAGGCGCAAGTGTTGACATCGGATCCTTTGAAAGACCTCTCCAGCATGTATAGAAGTTTCTTGGCTTTTGATGTAACGTGGTGAATATGCTCTGACCAGGAAAGACGATCGTTGACTACAACGCCCAGATCAGTGTGGCTGGAAATTGCTTCGATGTTGTGGTCAGAGATCTTGTATGTATATCGCGGATTTGTCTTCCCGAGGTGAAGGACACAACACTTAGTTAGATTTAAGGGTAAAATATAAACATACTACACATGTGAATACAGATTCAAAGGATTTGGTGTAAGAGATGTATGTCAATTACAGTTTTTTCTAGATGTTGCCCTTTGTAGATTTGCACCTCATATTTGTGATGTATTCCACAGAGATCTGGTTTGATTCCAATGCAGTCTCTGCACCTAATAGATAACCGTTCAGACCGGTAAATCCGTTCCTTAGCTTTCGCGGCGCTGTATTTGAAGCAACTTCGTCACTGACTCAAGACCTGGAATGCTTAATAAATATGCTGCTTCTAATAATGTGCTCCGTTTGATAAAACACTTAGTTTATACATAATCTATTTCCAATTTTGCTAGACCTATTCGTTAGACATTTACTATATTTATCGATTCGGCTGTTCTTACGCATATCCAAATGTAGCACTGTTTGCATGTTTCTGCATGTTGACGAAAACATGAAACGGTCTATTAAGTGAATGCTTTTTCGCAACTTTTTGGTTATAAGAACATAAGAACAGTCGTCAAAAGTAAATTTCACGGGTTCAGGTGGAATAAAAACCTTGTTGTTTCGTCTTCAAAAGTATTGTTTATTCTTTTTTATACCCTAGCATTTATTTTCCAGAAAAAGCGAAAATTCTACAAAATTAGTCAGCCCAGAGACGTCGAAAGCGTGCATAATGCCACGGAGAAAAACAGCAAGAATAAGCTGTACACAAATTATTTGCCGGCAATATTTCAAAAATGACAGGTTCCAAATTACAAAAGGCAATGAGCCACGTCCAGTTCGGATCAACTTATACATAAACATATACAACATGAATACTTACGTTACAGGCATCCGTCTTGCAGTTTCACCAACTCATACAAATGTTAATGCCGACGTATAAATATGGTAATAGGAGGTTGTGTATGTACACACGACGGATTTGGAATATCGGCTGCTACTGATACCTTCTGACTGATTTGCCATACCTTTTGGCGTCATCTGAACATAACTGAATTTCCGTAAATTGTCAAACATTTTTTCAATTTTTGAGTCTTGAAGAAACTAACATCAAATCGACAAGATCGTTATTATTATATTGATATATTAATGTACCATTTTTTTCAGATCCGATTTATAAACAAACAGCTTGGACATGCCGCGTCTGGATAGGACGCAAGTCTGCATATTTTTATTTGCATCATGTTATGGCGGCAGAGCCAGATTTGGTATTGCAGATGATATTTTCCAGACTTAAAAAGTCTCAAGACTGTTATGTGTAAGTTAATATTAAAATTCGCTTATTTTTACTTTGCAAAGGAAAGTCACAACTTGGAGAACGCCATGTATAAAGCAAACACTGCTAAAATATGTGCAGAAATACTCCAGACAAATCGTCGTGAAAATGACCCTGACCTCGCGAGAAATCCTGCAGTTGAGTTTTTGTTTTGGTCTCAGCGAGGTTCAATAACAGAGCCTGAAACCACACTTCCCATGTAAATTAGACTTTTAGAGGTTATGTTGGTCGGTTATTCGTTAAAATGCATCGGACCTATAAGAATTAAAAAGAAACTATTCACCATACACGAGTTTTGTAGAATAGGATTTTTTCATACACTCAACCAGAAAAGAGTTACAGAGATGGAAGGTAGATATTTTAATTTTTGTTAGCCATGCTTTGTACCGTTTCGATTGTGAGGATGGACTTTTTATGAAAAAAAATTATGTTTTTGATAGCTGAATAAATTTTGTATAATTCAAATAATCATTTCGATACAATAATTGGGAGCTCGTTAATCAACGAGCAATGAGCACTTCGTAGCTTGTATTACATTTCACCAATACCCGAACTATTTACACAAGAAGTAAGGTTCCACAGCTGGGTTTTTGTTTAGCTCTAAACGAGGACCATTGGCTGAACTTAAATCCAAATTTCCGACATACATTAGATTTTTTCAGGTTATTTTGTTTAAACAAATGCATAGTTCTGGTTGTTTCGTTTATCTCTGTTACTATGGATTACATCGGATCTTAAAAAAATTAGAAAATTAGTAATTCACCATTTTGTCTAAGATTTTTGTGCAATAAGCTTATTTAATAGCATTTTTCAAAAACTTACATTTACATATTTTTTTAGTAATTTTTTATTGCTTTCTATAATTTCTAATGCAAAGATGAACTTTTCAGTATACTTTTATTCTGTACCATCTAAAATAAAAATCAATCAAAGCGCAATTTTTAGTGGTCGGAGCGTGAATTAACTTATTTATTCCATCAATGTACGAACCATTTACCTGAAATGGTAGAAATAGAATATAATAATTCTTACTTTCTAACCCTGTAACCCTTGGTTGACTGCAGTGGGAAGGCTTACCATACAAAAATCAGAGACAAATGTATGATGAATATTTTTTGTTATTTTTTCATGATTCGATGAGTAGTAACAGACAAACGAAAAGAACCGAAATTATACATAGCAAAAAGTGTAATTGGTGACGAACATGTGGTTTAAGACACAGTCCTCTTTTAGACTAAAACAAAAACTGCGGTATATTTTGAAAAGCAAAACTACCATTTGGCTGTGATAAGACCTAGTAGTCTGATCTCCGTTTCTGAAAGGTCATTTCAAAACGCTAAATACGAAACGGCATTTTTCCGGTTGAAAATGTATGGGTCTCCACACGTGCGTGCCACTGTTATGCAGATGTTTTAAAATAAACCGGCCAACGCAATCTAGATGAGCTGAAAATAGAGAGGGCAATGGTATGATAAGTAAATTATAACGAATGGTCTACGAGAGGAAATCCAATTGTTCTTCCATTATGTTTTCTTCTTCTTTTCCTAATTATTCTAAAGGTATGTAATTTTATTCACTTATACTTCGTTTACATATACACGTAGTACGGTCATGGTGCTTCGGTCATATATCTCAAATAGGACCTTCAGAGTTAATTAAGAAGAAGAGTATTCTAATATATATTCGGAATCAATGAGTGATACCTCAGGGGCGTGTTCTAGGGGCAGTACTCCCTGAATACAGATATTTGTACGATGACCGATGTAACAGTTGCAGCATTTGCAGACGATACAGTATTGGATAGCAACTGACAAAAATCTATTAAGTTCTGTTAGTATATTCCAGGCTGTTAACAATAACTTAGTGGAATTGACCCAGAGGTGGAAAATCAAACTGAAAGAGTTCAAATCGATCCATGTTTGTTCTACGAACAGAAGATTAACAAAAGCAAGATCTATACTTAAATTTTTAAACCTGTCTGGATCTATGGTTGTCAAGTATAGGGCTGTTTCAAGGTTGTTCAAAGACTTCAAAATAAAATTATGAGAACCATTGCAATTGCTCCTTGGTACGCATATGAATCTGCTCCCAATATACATTCTTTCCCACGGCTGCATTCAGTCACTAAGTGCCAATATTCGTTGTGCTGGTTTCTTACCTATTCTTTGACTTGTTTCCTTATTGTGCTTTTTGGCAGTCCTAAAGTCCAAGACGGCTTCTGAGCCTATCAAGCGTGGTCATTTCCTTGCCAGCTCATACGCCCAGTGATATGTGTTAAATTGTAAGAAAACACAGGCAAATTAATGGTTGATCAAAACA